AGGATTACTGTTGAAAGCAAGAGTAGATGCACATAATTTATTATCAGTATAATACCAGCAAGGTGATAGTATATAGTTAGTGTGTGTTGGAAAATGGAAGAGCAGCCACTACATTGTAAGGACCCTTGCAGATTTTTCCCACCCTACTGGCTTTGTTCAGCCCCTGTTGCTTTGTGTGTGTGACTCTGCATGTGGGGCCAGCCAGCTGCTGGCCAGCTGCACTGAAAAGCTCTGTCATTTGTTTAAACAAGGAGGGAAAAAAATGTCTAGGGAAACGTGTAAAAATTTTGTCAGCAGTGTTTTTTCCATTTGGTTGTGTCCTATAAAGATAGCTTTGCTGAAAATAAAATGTAAGAATTTATTACATATTGTACTTTGTGCTTTGTTAAAAAGTTTGGATGAGGTCTGTAGTTAGTTCCACTGGGTTACCCTACTCCTGCATTTAGACAGAACAAAGTTGAAAGATTTTAGCAAAGTCAACAACAAAGTTCCAGCGTGGGTGGACACCGTTCTAAGGTATGGCAACTGAGAACAAAGGTATGCTTAGTGTTTTTCTTATGTTGCTTGGTATACTTTTAATTCCCTGGCACTGAAATTCATTTTAAGATATGATCACAGGAAAGAATTGAGAGTTCTTTAAATGTGTAAGTAGGTCAAGGCTTTGAGCTTTTGAATCTTCTGAACTTTAGTTAGTTACATTGTCTTCTTTTTCTAGTCTTTAAATCCTTGTATCTGGTGACCATCTATATGTGAGGTTGATTTAGGCTTGATTTTAAAGGAAGAAAACAATTTTGTACTGCACTGACAGACTTTTTAAGTTTTGTCTCTGAATTCATATCAAAAAATGCTTCCTATCAAGCAGTGATGCTGCAGTATGGTGCAAGAGGATAATTTTTGCAAGATGTGGATGCTTAGCAATGAAATTCATATTTAGATTTAGAAATTTAGAGGTCTGGGTTATCCCAAATCACATGTCTTTGAAATCTAGAGCTACAGAAATTTTGCTCTTAGGAGCTGGATTTCACCTAGCTGTAAGCAGCTAACGGATACTAGTGCTGGTTTGTTGTCAAGACTTCCACTGTCAGCAATGGAGAAAGACAAAATACCTTTGGGTAGTGACAGATTAAAGACAAAGGAGGCAAATTATACCCCATATATCAGAAACCTCTTGCAATCCTATCAATTCGGAAAATACGGCAAATAAGCGTAGTACTTCCAGGGACATTTAACGGATCACACAACTGATAACCATCAGCTTTCCTTCCCACTTGGCAACTTTCAACCTATTTCTCCTGCAGGCAGATACTACTGGCGGTGGGCCCCTGGGTTAAGTCAAGCACATCTCCATGCCTAGCTCTCAGTGAGTTTGGATCAGAGTCAGAATTTGTATTAGGTGGTGGTTCTTGCAACCTTTCTATTACAAGATCTCACTATCACCCTTCTTTTTCTTTTGCTTCATATAAGACACATTGTCACTGTTGTTGTAGAGTTAGTCTTTGAAATAAAGTTGACAGAGCCCTTGTATGTCAAGATCAAGATTGCAAATTATCTTCATAAAGAGGCAAGTGAAGTTTTAAATATTAATATTAATATTGTGTTTTAAATTTGATCTGAGTTGCCTGTGCAACAGAAAGTGAGTTTTGCCAGGTTTAGAACAGGCTCTATAGTAAAAAAAAAAAAAAAAAAAAAAAAAAAAAAAAAAAAAGCACATTTTTTGATGAATACAGTTATTTAGAAAAGCTCCTGTAGAATGTAGAATCTTTTCTGCATTGTGAACTACTTTCTAGGTATGCTTTCTCTATTAATTCTGTAATGATGACCAAGAAGTAGTAAGAAGCTTCCTTTTCTTGTGCATTTAGCTTTGTTTGCAGAGAGATCAGGAGGCAACTGTTTGTGCACTTGTTTTCTTTGAGTTCTCCAAGAAGGCTTAGGGCTAGAAAAAGAACCACAACATTGCATGGTCAAAGGCAGTCAAGTTTAGCCAGGTAAGCATATGACTGGGAAAGCCTTATAAGGTGTAATGAGGCTGAGGCTGCTTAAGTTTCACTTTTGAGTAACTCGGATGCAAGCAATGATCCATCAAGATGGAAAATTACTATATTAGGAAGAAGCTTGTGTTTCCCAGATTAGGCTTCTTAAGCAAAATTAGATGAAGATTTTCTTTTATCATCCTAATTGGACTATTCTGCCCTTTTCATTGTCTTAGGTCACTGTTGATGAATGGCAGCCTTGAGTGCTGCTTCCCAAATATAATTACAGGAGGACATGTTTTTCTGTGCAAGTGATCATACATTTGCTGCATTTAAATCAGCCAAAACTACATGTTGTTTTTTTTTTTTTTATGGACTGCATGTAATTGAATTTAAATGGTGGATGTGCATATGCTGGATTAGATGAAATTGAAGCTTTTTTTTTTTTTAATTACATTTTCTTATTTTTTAAGATTTAAGAAGATCATAAACCTCAAATGACCTTTTAATGTTTCTGGTGGAAAAGGGACAAGACATATAAGAACTTTGTAATTTGACTCTCAGACAAGAAAAAAATTCCAGGTCAACAATAACTAATTAGGATTTGTGTGTTGTGTTGTGTTATATCTTGTTTCAGATCATTTCCACTCATTATGCAGTAATCTTTGTACACTGAATTAACCAGGCAGTTGACAACAATGATGTGTGGAGTGTGAGCTGCCTTTTGCACAGAGGGTATTCCCTGTTGACATAGAATGATATTCTGAGCTGGAAATGCAGGGGATTGTGTGATTTTGCAGTACACCCATCCTAGATCACCCTTGGTTAATCAAGTTTTACAGTTTAAATCCTGTCCATGAAGCAAGTTCAGGAAAGTATATCTGAATGTCAGTTAGGAATTTATTCTATATACCCTCAGAAGATCGACTACTGATAGGAATGCTATGAGGAATGCTAAGCATTGAATGTTTTGCACTCTTGCACCATTCCTGAGAAAGTAGTTACTGCATATCAGTTCCTGGAATGTTATGTTCCAGGACTGAGTTCTACAATTGTAGGAGTACTTCTTATAATGCAAATGTATCTTTATCATGTTGCCTTATATTGCCCACTGTAGCATATATTATTATTTAGTCTACAGTTCTAGCAATATTCCTCTAAGTTTGCACTGCATATGCAGAATTTATCATTGAATTTACTTCTGTTCATTTCCATAGACCACCCATACACCTATGGGTATAGTTTTACGTTATTGCTTAAAGCAAAGATACTAACCTGAATTTGAGTGACTTCTTTTTCATTTAGGAGCTCATTAAAACAGTTTACCAACTGGATATAGAAAGAGATGAAACAAGCTTTCACTTATTGTATGGATAATAAATGTAGGGACAGATTCAATTTTGCAGACAACAGTTTGTCTACTTGACAGCTTCTTCAGAACATTATTGCTAGCCTTTTTTATTTAAATAATTAAATTCCACATCAGATGAAAGTCATGAAGTGATTTAGTATTTGATTAATGATTACAAAGAACATTGCTGCCTTTCTTTGGAGTTACATTTCTATATTCTTTAATTGAGAGGAATAGACTCAGTCTTCAACATCTTGCTCTATGCTACGCTAACAATGTCTGCTTCTTTTGGGTACTTTTTATTTCAGACTAGTCCACTGGATTTGTGTTCTTTGGGTTGTTAAAGTGTGATCTGCTACTTGATGGCATATATGAACCTCCACATACTTTCTGTATAAACAGGTTTTCCATGAGCAGTGGAACTTATTGATTTTGTTTTCATTCTTGGTATAGATTTTTGTTCTTTTTTTCCCAAGTTGATTGTGGCCTCAGTTCACTCTCTCTTCCCTGACTCTGTACAACACCCCCATTGGGCAAATTAATTCACAGCTGCTAATAATGCTGATTTGCTGCTTACTGATTTGAGTCATTTGGTATGTTTTTGTCTCAACATTACCCACCCACAAACATTTAATGATTTTTTTTTTTTTTATTTTTTTTTAGGAACTTACTGTGAAACAGAGTTAAGAGAGCATGTTTTTTTAAAGATTTGACTAATAATATGAAATGCTCAGTCATGCAGAAACCTATTTTTCATATGGAGTATGTTGGTAATTTAAGGAAGGAAGAAGGATAATTGTAATTGATTTTACTGGAATATTATTTTATCTTTTTAGAGGTTAGGTATTCAAAGAAAGAAGGGGAAGAAAGGTGGAAGGTATTTTATACATAAACTTAAATTATGAAATGTGCAAGAATAAAACTAACATTGTTGGCCAATGACTATTCTTTGTGTTTTCCAACAAAGGGGTTTGTTCATAGTTCACAACAAAGCAGATTTTTGTGTTGAGTTGAAAATACAAAATACATGCGCCAAATTATCCTATAAAATTGAGTTAGAAAAAAATCAGTTATTGCGTGTGGAAAATATGGAAAAAAAAATACAGCAAAGTGATTAAAAATGAATTTGTATCCACTCCATTACCTATAAAAACAAACAAAAAGTTTCTGGCCTTGCTGTCTTCAGGGATGCAAAATTGTATCAGGATATGTAAATTTTTCCTCTTCTCAAAAGAAAATAGGAAATTTTTACTTTGAACTTAAAAGCTCTATTTTTGTTTTATAAGTCTTTTTGACAGCTGTGTCAGTACCATGGAAGGCTGAATGAGTTTATTCTATTAGGTACAGTACCAGTTATGCAATCAAACATGAAGTTCTGTATCCAACAATGGTATTTGACTACTTAAAATATTTTAACTATATGTCTTCTTCCTTGGTATCTCCTTCTCAGAAGAGTTTGAGAGCATACATTAATTTATTATCGTCTATACTAAAGTACTTCCAATATTTTATCTTGTTCAATAAAAATATAAACTATAAATTGTAAACTAAAAAAAGTATTAATAGACCATTTTGAAAGATTGATCTAGGATTTCTTAGAGGAGTACTTTCAGGTAATAATTCTGGATTTCTTTGTTCTTTCTTCTTTTTTTTTATTTTTTTTTTAATTCTGTTTTCAGATGGAAGACGTCATAGCCCGCATGCAAGATGAGAAAAATGGGATTCCTATTCGTACAGTCAAAAGTTTTCTTTCCAAGATCCCCAGTGTCTTTTCTGGTAAGAGTCAAAGTGAATTTGATATTATTTGAAGTTCCCGCTCTACGTTATGTACTCAAATGACCAGTATTTAACTGAGTGCTATGTGAAATGCTGTGATACAGTCACCTGGTGTGGGGGAGACATTGACTGTCCTTTCAGTACTTTAATAATAGAAAATGTGTAGATGTTTCATGTTGGAATGTGCCCTTATAGAGATTATTTTACCAGTAGACTTGTGAAGTCATTTGAGTTCTACTTAATTTATTGCAGAAAGTCAATTATCTGAAGCTGGCTTTATTTTTATTGCAGTTTTTCTGCATTGACGATCTGATTTTTAACATGTTTTTATGGCAAGTATAGAGAGTTTAGAGTATAGGCCAGTGTATCAAGGTAAGAACTGACACAGCAACAGCACAAAAAGAAAATCATCACAGCATTGTGCAACTGATACTGACTTCAGGCTGTATATATTTCATATAAAGCTTATGATCTGCTTTTGTGGGCTTGGGCTGCCTGTATGCAGGAGGCTAAGAATTAGTTGTCTATGATGACTTGCAAAACATCTGTAAACTTTGTAGATAATCCAAATCAGTATTGTCATATACACAAAAATCTGTCAATTTATTTTTTAATTAACTAGTAACTATCTTTTCTTTGTTTGTTTACAAACATCTGTATACATTTCTTCATTTATGTATGTGCGAATGCACCTCCTTTTATGCTACCAATGACTATGGAATTCCTTTGAAATACATGCCATTGTTGAACCTACTTTTTCCATACTGTGGTGAGCTCTGTAAACAGTTGCAGTTATTGAAATGGAAAAGGTAATCCTTGCATAGAAAATATTTACAAAAGCTTTTACAAAAGCTCTACAGAGTAAGAAGTGTAGTTCTATAATTTTAAACCTTTGGAATGTTTTTGCTAGTGATTTAGTCTAGTACAAAGAAGGAAAGGTCTTAAGAGTGAACAAAACTTCTTCATGATTTTAAAAACTGCTTGTACAAAAACTAGGTTCTGAAGAATGGACCTTTATTTCCCATATGTTAGTACTGCATGATATCCCATTAAATGATCCATGTTATTTTTCTGTGCCTTATCTTCTGTGCTATTGACTTCAAGTTAGAGTACCATAATTTGTCTATCAGGAGATATAATTTTATTTTTTTCTAATTTATTATTTTAATTTTTACTAAAACAGATGTCATACTTTTTAATGTTGTTCAAGAATTCACTGATACATTCATAGCATCCACTGATACGATTTCTGTAAATAATGAGAAGTAATAATTTTATCAGCTGCAGGGAAGAAAAAGCATAGTAACTCATTTTTTCCCTTTTGAGGTTTTCTACTTCACCACTAGAAAAGCACAGCTGTCATTTGAGTTCCATTAATATTTACTTTTCTTCAGTTAAAACAAACAAAAAAAAGATATATGTATGTCTGTATGGTCATATATATATATACATGTATATATGGGTATATGCATGCAGAAAGCTGCACAGAAAACTGTCCCATAAAAACTGGAACTTCGCAACTGTTTGTTTGTGGAAAGAAAAAATAATGGGTAGGTGTGCTACAGTTAAGTCATGTTCCCTGCAAAACATGCTTTTGTTTATGCATTGATAATACCTGTTAGAGTCCTTTAAACAACTTAGAATTAAGGACATCCATAAGTATGTAGGCTTAAATTCTTATGGGCTAGCATTGTGATTATGCCATACTAAAAGTAGGAGAGGTATTTTTATTTTTGTTTACTTGTATATCATAGCATTGCTTCTGAAAACAACAGGTGGAAGACTAGCTGAGACAGCAGACACTCTTTAATGCAGAATTAGTGACCATGTCTATTTAAGGATGAATGTATTAGCAAAATCAGTCTGGGGTATCTGAATTTGACCTTTTAATATAATGTTGTGATTATAATAAATAGGATGATGTAATTATATTATCTAATTTATTGAGTCATTCCTTAAGTGGTTTTAAAAGTAAAATATCTACACAGAAATATTTCAAATACAGATAATTCTCTATAGGTTATACACATTATTGTGCTTCAGAAGAACATACACATATACAAAAAAAAAAAAGATAATTTCAACTCATGAAATTTTGAAAAGGATGAATTATATTGCTTTATATTTCATGTATTTATAGAGAGAAAATACATTGCTTAATGTTGATGTTTGGTGCATTTGTTCACAAGTGTGTGCAAGCTGCTTAAATTCAAATAAACCATTTTTATTCAATTCATTTATTGAAATCTTTCAAAAAGAAAAAATTCAGTTGAGGTTGCCTGATAAAAATATGCTTGGTATGAGTTTGCAAGCAATTTGATGAAGAAGAATGCAAACCCGTAGATATGTGGGAATTACTATTCACATTTTTATCTACATTCAGGAGTGTATCAGATTGACTAAGCAGCAAATTTATCTGAGGTGTAAATTTAAAGAGCTGGTAAATTGCAGACTAATTTGGATAACAGCATTCCAGTGAACTGCATCTAGGAGGTGAAATGGATAATGACAAAAAAAAAGCAATTCTGGACAGGTCTCCAATATGTCATGTATGCCAAAATATAAATCTCTGAAAACAAGGGTGTAAATATGAAACGCCTCAGAATTATTCTGCACTGTAGCTTCTTGGGTTGATGAAGTAATGGTTTCATCTATGCCATGTGGGTGACAAATTGCCCAGAGAAGTTGCGGAGTCTCCTTCTCTAGAGATATTTTCAACCTACCTGGGCGTGGTCCTGTGCAACATACTCTGCTTTATATGGGCCTGCTTGAGCTGGATTAGATGATCTCCAGAGGTACTTTCCAACCTCCACCATTCTGTGATTGCATTCAAAGCTTGTTTTACACCAAAATATGTGTAATTCACAGAACAGATATTCTACAGTCTACATGGCCAGATATTAATATCTTTATTTTTTAAAATTAGTCCAAGCAAATAATATATGTTGTGTTTTCCTTATAGGTGTGTATTAATTAAATCTGACATTAACTGCCTTCTGGGGCCATTGTAACAGTATGCTGTATGCCTGGTATGATTTTGGCCAAAAGTGTTTTTATAATAGATTCTAGCCCTTATAGAGTCTTGTTGAACTACCTCATCCAGCTACTGCTTGTGAGGATAAGTTCATTTAGGTCTTTGAACAGAGAAATCTGACAACATGCTATAGCAGATGGTCTTTGTAATGATGGTTCACCTCAGGCTGAGTCATCCACAATGTTATTTGCAACTAGGCACAACCTAGATGTAGCAAGTAAATGAATATGCTTGAGGAGCATTGTAGAAAACAGACTAATATACCATGCACCCTAGTACACAACTGTCTGAAAACAGATTTGCTAGGTTGTACTTTAAATCCTACACTGATCACTTTTAATGGGAATTCTGCTGGAAATTGCTTTATGCAGACAAATAACATTGCAGACAATGTTATCTGTCTGCTTAAACATATACAATGTTATGGTGTAAGCTATCGTTCAAGTAACAGCTTCGAGAGTGGAATAATCTATTTTTATGATGAACAATATAATATGCTTATGACCATTCACATTATTGAGTGTGAAAATCCATAGCCACTGACTTTGTCTTTGAGCATTTTCATGTTCATTTTCTCATTGCATTCTGTATAGCGAATGTTTCTGAGAAAACAGAAACAGGTTTTCAATTGTAGACCAATATTCCTCTATGAAACGTGCTCCCAAACTTCTATATGCATTATTTGTTGTCTGGGTCATTTTACTGATTTTTTTTTTACTAGCTACTGGGTCTCTTGATCATCTTGATCATCAAAAGTGTAGAACATAGACCATGATGAGAATTGAAGAAGATACTGTGAAAAAAGAAGATTCAACAATAACCGATAGCAAAATCAGAATTCAGTGAAACACCTGTGTACATCTTCTTAGAGACAGGTTGCATTCAGCAGTGCTAATGAATAAATTAGAGGGAGTGTTTCATATATGAGGTGATGGAAAGACCAGTCAGTATAATTTTAAAGAAGCTGTTTTATTTTTATTTTGCAACACAGTGCAGATAATAGGTTTTCTTGAACGCTTGGTCCAATTCTTTGGAATGTCTAGCAGAGAATGGATTATCTCTGTGTTTTGATGTAGTCTTTCACTAGTCAGTATGTAAGTTCATAACATTAACGGGGAGTTTAGTGACAATGGGGTTATTAAAATAATCTATTTTAAGATAAGATTTGTTAGCTACTAAGGCTACTATAGAATCCTACTTTAATATTGGCTTGAAGAAACTAGAAGAACTTTACTGATTTCCAAGTGCACAGTTAGGATGCTGTAGGCTGAGTACTGCTCTTCTGCATGAGCTCAGAATGAATCCAGTATAAAATGATGGTGCATGATAGAAGTTGGCAATGTAAACTAAAAGTTTGTATGGAGGTTGTTTACTCCATAAAGTATTTTGTATAGTGTTATTTAAACTTAAACCTGGTGAGCTGTACAGTGTTTTTCTTTTTCTTTTTTTTTTTTTCTTTTCTTCTTTTTGTTATATAAGTGTATAAAAGAGTCAGAACTATCTCTGAACTGAACTGAATTGGTTGTACAATAGTCTCTTGAGGGAGGGGCTGAGTCAGTTTTCTTGGTAGCCTCGAGCACATTGCTACATGTCTGGCATACCTATCTATACCCGGGCTTGAAGTTGACACCAAAGTTGTTTCCATGTGGTTCTTGGGGTAAAATTCTATTTATCAATGTCTGTGGATCTAGGTAATTTTCTGCTGTTAACACTGATGACCACAGTCGTGGGAACTCAATGTTCAGAAGGCACATATTTGAAACAGTACTTGATAGCTGGCTACACTACAATAATGCAGGATGCCCTGTAATTCTACAGTTCGTAGTCTCTTGTAGGTGGAGTCATAGTTATTTATCAGATATATATTGTGGCTTTGATTTGAAACTTTAAAGGCTCCAAGGAGAAAAAATAAGCAGGAGAATTTGCTCTTTCTGTGTGATTATGCATTTTGATGAACAAAAGAAGG